AAAAAATATATATATTGTATGTCTTTACACAAGGTTGAAAATCTTTGAAGTTTAATGAAGATGGTATCTGACTACTGTGGAGTTTATATATATATGTATATATACATATATACATACTGTGGAATTTATATATATACACACACATATATATACACACACACACATATATATATAAACTCCACAGTATGTGTGTGTGTGCGTATGTGTATATATATATATTGTTTTTTTTTTTTTTGAGACAGTCTTGCTCTGTCACCCAGGCTGGAGTGCAGTGGCGTGATCTTGGCCTCCCAAGTAGCTGGGATTACAGGCATGCACCACCATGCCTAATTTTTGTATTTTTAGTAGAGATGGGGTTTCGCCATGTTGACCAGGCCAGTCTCCATCTCCTGACTTTGTGATCCGCCGTCCTTGGCCTCTCAAAGTGTTGGGATTACAGGCATGAGCCACTGTGCCTGGCCGGAGTTTATATTTTTAATTGCTTTGTTTTATATGGAATCTTGTTCTCATAACTAATTGTAATGGGAGTGTCTTGACATTTACATAATTTTCATAAGCAGCCTTCAAAACTGTAAAGGATTAGCAATCAGGTCTAAGCTTTATTCCCATCTTTTTTCTTTTTTTTTGAGAGAGTCTTGCTCTGTCACCCTGGCTGGAGCACAATGGTGCAATCTCAAGTCACTGTAACCTCTGCCTCCTGGGTTCAAGTGATTCTCTTGCCCCAGCCTCCCAAGTAGCTAAGATTACAGGTGCCCACCACCACACCCAGCTAATTTTTGTATTTTTAGAAGAGACAGGGTTTCACCAGGTTGGCCACCTGACCTCAGGTGATCCTCCTGCTTCAGCCTCCCAAAGTTCTGGGATTACACGTGTAAGCAACCTTGCCCAGCCCGTCGTTCATCAATCATTCACCCCAAAAAATGGTTAGACTAAGTGGTTCTGACTAAGGCAGCACTTGGGGTCCGCTTTAGAATCAAAAGCAGAAGAGCAAATCAGGTACACTTTCAAGGGGGTGGGCTTTGAAAACTCAAACTCATCGAATAGGAAACATGACAAGCCCACCGCAACATGTGGAAGATGTGAAACCATTTCCCCAAGTATGGTTCCGTTTTTGGAGAGAGCACTCACATCTGTAGGCTTAAGTAATGATAGGCAAAAAAGGGAGGCTGGTGTCAGTGATCTGACAGCCACATCCCCAGAGAGATGAACTAAGGAATATTACCTGTACTTTTTTTTTTTTTTTTAAGATAGAGTCTCGCTCTGTCACCCAGGCTGGAGTGCAGTGGCTCACTACAGCTTCAAACTCCCAGGCTCAAGTGATCCTCCCACCTCAGCCTCCAGAGTAGCTGGAACTACAGGCACATGCCCCTGCCACGCCCAGCTAATTAAAAAATGTTTTATTGTAGAGATGGGATCTTGCTGTGTTGCCCAGGCTGGTCTCAAGCTCCTGGCCTCAATTATTCTTCCATCTCAGCCTCCCAAAGTGCTGGGATGACAGGTATGAGCCACTGCCCGCCGGCCACGTGTCCTCTTTTATTCTTCCATTATCTTCTCTCTTCCTGCCCTTTCCATTTAACAAAGCCTCTTTCCTAATAGGAGCGAGGAATCTTCAAGTGTTCAAGTCTCAGGTAACCTCCTAGGTTTGAGGGTTAGGGTTTGGGAGTATGTCACTTTCATCTTTGCCTTTAGAAGGTGCTCCCCTAAGTTTGTCCTGCTCACCCACTTCTCTAGGTCCTCCTGAAATCTTCCTCCATAAGCCTGTCTAAATGATGGGGGAACTTTCTGTCAGAGGTGTTTGAACCAGAGCAACTCCATCTTGAAGAGGGGCTGGGTAAAATGAGGCTGAAACCTACTGGGCTGCATTCCCAGATGGTTAAGGCATTCTAAATCACAGGATGAGATAGGAGGTCAGCACAAGATACAGGTCATAAAGACCTTAATGATAAAACACGTTGCAATAAAAAAGCTGGCCAAAACCTACCAAAACCAAGATGGCGACAGGAGTGACCTCTGGTCATCCTCACTGCTACACTCCCATTAGCGCCATGACAGTTTACAAATGCCATGGCAACGTCAGAAAATTATCCTATATGGTCTAAAAGGGGGAGGCATGAATAATCCACTCCTTGTTTAGCATATAATCGAGAAATAGCCATAAAAATCGGCAACCAGCAGCCCTCGGAGCTGCTGTATGGAGTAGCCATTCTTTTATTTCTTTACTTTCTTAATAAACTTACTTTCACTTTACGAACTTGCACAAGATCCAAGAACCCTCTTTTGGGGTCTGGATGCAGACCCCTTTCTGGTAACATTCATGTATCAAATGAATACACGATTTTCTGCACTGGAATCACACCTGGGCTATGTCTGGCGTAACAAATTCACTCTATGGCTGCAGTTGCCAGAGTTTTACCTTCACTTTCCTTTGTTCCCCTGATTGGATTTCCTCAGTACCTCAGTACCCATTTCCTCTTCTTTTTTTTTGAGACGTAGTCTTGCTCTGTCACCCAGGCTGGAGTGCAGTAGTGTGATTTTGGCTCACTGCAACCTCCGCCTCCCGGGTTCAAGCAATTCTCCTGCCTCAGCCTCCTAAGTAGCTGGGACTACAGGCGCGTGCCACCACGCCCGGCTAATTTTTTTTTTTTTTGTATTTTTAGTAGAGACAGGGTTTCACCGTGTTAGCCAGGATGCTCTCAATCTCCTGACCCTGTGATCCGCCCACCTTGGCCTCCCAAAGTGCTGGGATTACAGGCATGAGCCACCATGCCCGGCCTATTTCTTCATTTTCACAATCATCTTGCATCACTTAGGAGGCCGATGAGGGTGAACTACTATCCTGTGGAGAGGGGAACTGAGTCACACCCGCCTTGTATCCCAAACAGCCAAGCTTGTCTTTGGCAAGCTCATTACCGGCATGAGTCATGTATCACAGCATACTTTTTGGGGGATTTAATGATGCCTTATACTCTTTATCAAAACTACAAAACATAAATAGTGATTATAATTAGTACATTTACAAAAAAAAACACAAGAGTAGACAGACACACTCAAGAGCCCCGTTCACGAAGAGCTAATTCTTCTATCATTGCTTAACGTACCCTGGTTTCCCTTTCAGCCTTAATTAGTACAACTTCTTAACTTTTTAATTTATAATGAATGCTTTCACTTAAGCAAGCCCTGCTAGTGTTTGACAGATGGTTAATGTCAAAAGCCCACGGGGATGGCTTAGCTTTGGGTTTTGTGTTTTCGAAGCAGGAAAAATGTCTGACTGTGCTGATAATTTCTCAGCATGCATCACCATCAATTTTTATTGTCCTTCAAATTCCCCATTCTCCCTTGGACTTCTCTTCCACTCCTTGCCTATCACAGGCTGGAGACCAGGCAGAAGCACGCCATAATGGCTCATGTGATAAGCCTCATAAAGTTATTTTTCTCAGTTAATGGCTTCACTGACAATTTTACTGCTTTGCTCTAAGCTCCCCCATTCCCTTGGGCATCAGTACACATGTCTATGATAAGTCTCATCCAGCCCAGCAAAACTGGCCCTACAGAATTCAGATGGCCCTGTTTAAAGAAGCTCATCTCTCTCTCTGCTTTTTTTTTTTGTGTGCAACATAACACTTGAAAATACATTTAAACAGAAAGTAATAGAGCTTTAAAGCAGAGCTATAAAAGTGATTTATTCCTGAGTACATACTTTTTCCTCTCCCAGCTGACATCCATTTTTCCTTGAGTGTGTATCTTCATCTCTTTTCTAAATCCTTACTACTATATAGGAACTTTTAATTTCACCCTTAGTCCTTTCTACTTCGTGCCAAAGACTTGCATAATGTGCTGAAAGATCCACAGGGTTTTGGAGTCACGATTTGGGAAACTCTGCTATGCAATGATAATGCTCCCTAGTCACAATTACTGGCTTTATTAGGTAGTCAATTCGCTGTTTTTTAATTAGGAAAGGAAAAGTTCTTAATTCATTTTTTCCAAAGTTACTTTAAATGCATTTTTCTTTTTTTTCCTTTTTTCTTTCTTTTTTTTTTTGAGACAGTCTCGCTCTGTTGCTCAGCCTGGAGTGCAGTGGTGCGATCTTGGCTGACTATAACCTCTGCCTCCTAGGTTCAAGCTTCCTCCTGCTTCCCCCGCACCCGCCACAGGCATGTGCCACTACACCCAGCTAATTTTTGTATTGTTGGTGGAGACAGGGTTTCGCCATGTTGCCCAGACTGCACTCGAATTCCTGACCTCAAGTGATCCTCCTGCCTCAGTCTCCCAAAGTACTGGGATTAAAGGTGTGAGCCACCGTGCCTGGCCTAAATGCACTTAGATCAGGGGAACCTTCCTTCACTTAGAGATAGCAATTTCTGATAGCACCTCCCCCTGCCCCAAAGAACCACTGATAAAAAAAAAAAATACTCCCCTTGGCCAGGAACGGTGGCTCATGCCTGTAATCCCAGCACTTTGGGAGGATGAGGCAGGTGGATCACCCGAGGTCAGCAGTTGGAGACCGGTTTGGTCAACATGGAGAAACTCCATCTCTACTAAAAATACAAAAAATTAGCTTGGCATGGTGGAGGCACCTGTAATCCCAGCTACTTGGGAGGCTGAGGCAGGAGAATCACTTGAACCCAGGAGGCGGAGGTTGCAGTGAGTCGAAATCATGCCATTGCACTCCAGCCAGGGAGACAAGTGCAAGACTCTGTCTTAAACAAACAAACAAACAAAAATACTCCCCTTATATCACACAGCTTTCAAAGCAATTTCATACACATCAGTTCATCCAGTCTTTTTTTTTTAAACAGATGAGAAAACAGAGGCTCCGAGAGATTAAATAAAGTGTATCTTCAAGGTCATGGCTTCTCTGTCAGTCAGTGTCAGAAATCCGAATTTAAATCACCCCTCCATGATTCTGATTAAATAAACGAATTCAATTTTGCAAATAGGATTAGAGATCTGGAGATTTTCATTAATGTTATGGTGACGAATCTTTTATAAACAATACTTACCATTGATTGTGCTTTTCTTAGCCTAGTTCTGTCCTGCAACTTATTTTTCTTATCATGTGACTGTCGGCTGAAATCTGGGGTCATTTCGTTTCTTTTTTTTCTTCTGTAAATTGGAAAGCAGTGGGGAAATTACAAAGTATCTTTTTAAAACTCAGTGGTTTGCATAGCTATTTGTCTGTTTGAGTTTGTTGTTGCCGTGATTTAAAAGATTGTCTCCACTTAACTGGAAATAAGCCAAATATCAATCAATAGAGAACTAGTTGAATCAACTCTGGCATCTCCACACAATGCAGTACTATGAGCTGCAAAAGGAAGGTAGGATGTTTCTATATTCAACTGTAGAAGGATCTCCAGGATATACTGTTTTTTTTTTTTTTTTTTTGAGACGGAGTCTCACTCTGTCGCCCAGGCTGGAGTGCAGTGGCCGGATCTCAGTTCACTGCAAGCTCCACCTCCTGGGTTCCCGCCATTCTCCTGCCTCAGCCTCCCAAGTAGCTGGGACTACAGGATATACTGTTACATGAAGAAAGAAGGGTGGATGAGACGGTATGTACTGTGTGCTGCCATTCATTTCAAGAAGGTATTAAGATCTCTGCCTCTATATATTGTGCATATACATTTACTTGTACTTTTTAAAATGGAAGGATTATGGCCAGGTGGGGTGGCTCACGCCTGTAATCCCAGCACTTTGGGAGGCCAAGGCGGGTGGATCACCTGAGGTCAGGAGTTCGAGACTAGCCTGGCCAACATGGTGAAACCCCATCTCTACTAAAAACACAAAAATTAACCAGGCATGGTGGCACACACCTCTAGTCCCAGCTACTTGGGAGGCTGAGGCAGGGGAATCACTCGAACCCAGGAAGCAGAGGTTGCAGTAAGCCGAGATCATACCACTGCACTTCAGCCTGGGTGACAGAGTGAGACTCCATCTCAAAAATAAATAAATAAATAAATAAATAAATAAATAAATAAATAGGAAAGATCAAATCATAAAATGAAAACCAGTTACCTACAAGTAGAATTCCCATGTGAACTGATCAAAAACAGGGAATGTGAGCTGGGCACGGTGACTCATGTCCGTAACCCCAGCTCTTTGGAAAGTGAGGGGGAAGGATAACTTGAGTACAGGAGTTTGAGACCCACCTGGGCAACACAGTGAGACACTATCTCTACAAAAAATTAAAAAATTTAGCTGGGCATGGTGGTGCATGCCTGTAGTTTCAGTGACTCAGAAGGCAAAGGTGGGAGGATCGCTTGAGCCCTGGAGGTCCAGGCTGCAGTTAGCCATGACTGCGCTACTGCACTCTAGCCTGGGCAACAGAGTGAGACCCTAAATCAAAAAAAAAAAAAAAAAAAAAGAGAAAAGAAAAAGAAAGAAAAGAAAAAAAAGGAACAGGTAATACGGAGGAACAGGGACCAAAAGTTAGATTTCTCCAAGTATAGCTTATTTTGTATATTTAATTTTGGAACCATCTAAATTTTTCTCAAAATCATAAAATAAAATGAACTGAAAAATACCTAAAATCTGAAAAGCAAAATGAAACATATATATTATCTATTGAGTTGGTGGCATTACCACACACAAAGGAGTTACTTCACGTGAGTTTAATGCAGTAATTTGTCTGAATATTCTTGATAGAATATATCTGAGAGATAAAAACATAGACAGGGAAGTCAAACTGTTTTCAGTAATCATATCACTTGCTTTAATATTAGCATTTGTTTTCTAAAACTCCTGTATGTATTAGGATAAAGTAAGGATCCTCCAACCACAGCCCACAGGCTCAATCCAGTCTGCCGCCTGTTTCTGTAAGTAAAGTTTTATTGGAACATAGTCATGCTTATTTCTTGCACATGGTCTATTACTATATTCAGGCTACAATGGCAGAGTTGAGCAGCTGTGACAGAGACCATATGCCCTGCAAAGACTAAAATATTTCCTGCCTTGCCATTTACAGGAAAAGTTTGCCTGATGTAATGGATCTAGGCGATGAGTATCCATGGCTACCAACACGAGAGAGACAACCAGAAATGATGTGCATTGTGACGGAAGTACATATCCCTGTTCAGTATATACATAAGCCTCTAGGTCTGACTCTCAGTATAGCCAGGTACGGGGACAGAAGAACCTGTTAAGATGCATGTGGGCGGTGCAATCAACAAAATCCAGAATGTGAGAAGCTCTCCAGGATAAATGGTCTGATAGCTATAACAAACACATTGCAAGGAAAAAAAAAAAAAAAAGGACAGAGGGGAAATCTACGGAGAAAACAAAAGAAAAGAAAATGCTGAAGTGACATGTAGATCAAATGCATGTATATTGCTATGTAGACTTCCGTTGTTTTTTTTTTCTTGAGACAAGGTCTTGCTCCATCACCCAGGCTGGAGTGCAGTGGCACAACCATGGCTCACTGCAGCCTCCACTTTCTGGGCTCAAGCAATCTTCCCATTTCAACCTCCTGAATAGCTGGGACTACGGGCATGCACCATCACATTTGGCAAATTTTATTTTATTTTTATAGAGACAGGTTCTTGCTATGTTGCCCAGGCTGGTCTCAAACTCCTAGACTCAGATGATATTTCTGCCTCAGCCACCGAAAGTTCTGGGATTACAGGTATTTGCCACCACACCTGGCCTGATCTTTTTGGGAGTTCACTCCAACCTCCTCTCAGCTCAGCTCCCTTGGCCCAATAAAGAAGGGTGATATGGGCCAGGCGCAATGGCTCATGCCTGTAATCCCAGCACTTTGGGAGGCTGAGGTGTGTGGAGCAAGAGGTCAGGAGTTCGAGACCAGCCTGGCCAACATGGTGAAACCCCGTTCCTACTAAAAATACGAAAATTAGCTGGGCGTGGTGGTGCGCACTTGTAATCCCAGCTACTAGGGAGGCTGAGGCAGGAGAATGGCTTGAACCCAGGAGGCAGAGGTTGCAGTGAGCCGAGATCATGCCACTGCACTCCAGTCTGGGTGACAGAGCAAGACTCTGTCTCAAAAAAAAAAAAAAAAAAAAAAAGAAAAAAAAAAAAAGAAGGGTGATTTGCATAAACGTCCAAAAAGAAGATCAAAATTGGGGGACTCCCACTTTCTGGTTTTAAAATTTATTACAGAGCTACAATAATCAAAACAGTATCATACTGGTGTAAAGACCAACATAGAGAACAATAGAATGGAATAAGGAGCCCAGAGTTAAAACCCTCACATATATATGGTCTATTGACTTTCATCTAAGACTATTCAGTGGGGCAAAGGACAGTCTTTTCAACAATGGTGCTGGGGAAACGGGATATCTACATGCAAAACAATAAAGTTGGACCCCAACTTTATACCACATGCAAAAATTAACTCAAAATGGATCAAAGACCTAAACTGCAGAACTAAAATCCAAAACTCTTAGAAGAAAATGTACAGGAAAATTGCCATGACATTGGATTTGGCAATGATTTCTTGGATATGACACCAAAAATTTAGATAAATTGGACTTCATCAAAATTGAAAACTTTTGTGCCCTAAAAGATGCTATCAAGAGAGTGAAAAGTATGGGATGTCAGGTCTACTTGGGGAAATGAGCTTCAGGGTTGCGCCGTTTCATTTGTTTAATCTTTGCACTATCTCTTGATTTTTCTGTCACCAACCTGACTCCAGCTCAGTCTCTCTGGCTTGCTCCATTCCCAGGACTCTGATCTCAATTATGTGCCTCTGAAATTGGACCTCTGTGGAGTAATACCTCAGCCTTTCTTGTACCCGTGTGCTGGTTCATACTGGGCTGGCGCTGTCCATCATGCCAGCAGTAGGCACCAAAACTTATGAAGACCTAACAACTAGCCAGGCATGGTGGCTCATGCCTGTAATCCCAGCACTTTGAAAGGGCGAGGTGAGAGGTTCACTTGAGTCTGATCACTTCAGTCTGGGAGTTAGAGACCAGCCTGGGCAACATAATGAGATCCCATTCTACAAAAAATAAAAATAATAACAATTTTTTAAAAGGCTTAGCACTTTTTTTAAAAGGCCTAAATCCTTGACAAATCCAATCCAATGGTCCTTGATTTGTGTTTAATTCATCTAGAAGTGAAAGGTAATGCCCTTTTACTAAGGGAAACATTTAAGCAAGAAAAAGGCACCTCCATCCCTGCACTCACCCAGCCTTCTTCTTTCAAGTACAATATTTTAATAAACAACAAAGGAGCTCCCACCAGGAAACCTCAAAGATCCAAGGCTGTTTCACATATTCCACATCTTTGGGGAGAGCTGAAGAGTCACTTTCAGCTTAAGATATTGTACTGGAGCCCTATTGGCTCTTGACAGGATGTTTCTAGGTTCGAAAGATACTCATGAAGAGATTTCTGGTGTGTTTGTCAAAGAACCAAAAATATTTTTTCTTTGTTTTCTTTCTCTCTTTCTATCTCTCTATCTCTCTCTCTCTCTCTTTTTTTTTTTTTTTTTTTTGAGATAGGGTCTAGCTGTGTTGCCCAGGCTCGTCTCAAACTTCTAGGCTTGAATGATCCTCCTGCCTCAGCCTCCCAAAGTGCTAGGATTACAGACACATGCCACCTTACCCAGCTTTACTTTCAGAATTTATTTATAAGTGTATATACACACACACACACATATATATATATAGAAAATACAATCAGTAAATCTAATGAGTGTCAGGTTTCTTACCATCAGAAAAGGGAGGTACAAATACAGAAAGAATAACAGCTAGAATGAACCCTTTGGTGCTGGATTGCAATTTAATATTAAAATATTAGAAGAGGCCAGGCACAGTGGCTAATGCCTGTGACCCCAGCACTTTGGGAGGCCGAGGCATGTGGATCACCTGAGGTCAGGAGTTCAAGACCAACCTGGTCAACATGGTGACACCCTTGTCTCTACTAAAAATACAAAAATTAGCTGGGCATGGTAGCAGCCGCCTGTAGTCCCAGCTACTTGGGAGGCTGAAGCAGGAAAATCACTTGAACCTGGGAGGTGGAGGTTGCAGTGAGCTGAGATGTGGCCACTGCACTCCAGCCTGGGCGAGCATCAGAGACTATGTCTCAAAAAAAAAAAAAAAAAAAAAAAAAAAAAAAATTAGAAGAAGCAATGTTAAATCATTACTATTACAAAATGCAAACATACTGTAACCAATAGAGCAAATTTGCTAGTAATGGTTAGTATCCTGTTCTATTACTTTTTGCTTCTATGTACTGAAAAGCTTTTGTATTTCACAGTAAGTTCTATTTTCATCTCTTCATATACTGAAATGCCAATAAATTATTTCTAAAAACAAAGATGTTGAGAAGAGCATGGAGCTTCTTACCCTTGCCAGACAGTCTCCAAGGGGTCACAGTTGTCTAGGTAATTAAAACGAATGATATCTGTTGGATGCTTATCAGAAGATCGCCAGGGTGGAAGTGCTTTCTGCCCTGAGTTATTCTTCTTTCTTAAAGAGGAAGAGGACCGAAAAGCTGATAAAGGGGACTGTTTTTCCTCTGGAGAATTGCTCGTAACTAGTTGAACGTCAGCAATTACAAATCCATCCTTTGGGGGTGTCTAGAAGAAGAAAGTTAATTATGTTCTCAAAACACCATAATACGCTGGGTGTGGTAGCTCACGTCCATAATCCCAGCACTTTGGGAGGCCAAGGCAGGCGGATCACCTGAGGTCAGGAGTTCGAGACCAGCCTGGCCAACGTGGTAAACCCCATCTCTACTAAAAATACAAAAATTAGCTGGGCATGGTGGCAGGTGCCTGTAGTCCCAGCTATTCGCCAGGCTGAGGCAGGAGAATCACTTGAACCTGGAAGGCGGAGGTTGCAGTGAGCCAAGATCGTGCCATTGCACTCCAGGCTGGGTGACAAGAGCGAGACTCCATCTCAAAAAACAAAACAAAAAAAACACAAAACCACACTCTATAATAACAACAACAACAATAAAACAAAGAATATATTGAACGTCCTATACCATTACCATGGTGATAATGATTATAGCAGCCACCACTCCAGGAGTACTTGCCATGTTGCAGGCACTGTCTCAGGCAGTTTTCATGCATTATATTGTTTAACCTTCACAATAACTCTTTAAGGTAATCATTACTACTTCTGTTTTGCAGAAGAGGAAATAGAATATAGAAGAAACTAATTAATTTGCCCACTACTACAAAAGTAGTAAGTTGGAGGGCCAGAATTTGAATACAGAACTGTCTTGCTTCAAGCCCATATATAAGACCTCCCTATCCTACTCTTCTACCATACCATTGTCTAGTTTGTCACAACTGCAGCTAATTTATTCATAAAAAGTACACATTCCCCAAAAAAAGTACTCCAGCTCTCATGACCTCTAACACATAGAAACAACTTTGAGTTGTAGAGAGGTAGACTAGAAATTTTATCAATTATCAAAACCTCAACCACTCCCAAAGAATACTTCTGCTTTAATCTCCAAAACTGAAAGCCTGTCTTGTGTCTATGAAATTCATAATGTTTTTATGTGGTTGTAGCCTAAGGAAAGTACTACTGGTATGTTGAGAGGCCACTAAGGGCTTAATTTTTGTTCATTAAGAGATTAAGGAAGCTTTGCTTGGTAAATCAGTTTGCTTCCATTGTTGATGAAAATCAAGAAATTCCTCAGTTCCTCCAAGCATAATCAGTTAGTTTCTCATCCTTGTTTCAACAGCTCTTTGTATACCATTCTATTGGATAACGCTTAGTACTCAGTGTTGTAATTATTTGTTTATTTTTCTATGTCCTGGGCTACTAGACTAGGCTCTGTGAAAGCAGGGTTGGGGTCTTTCTATGTTTAGCACCTAGCTCACAACAGTGTTTAATAAATATTTATTCAGGCTGGGCGTGATGGCTCATGCCTGTAATGCCAGCACTTTGGGAGGCTGAGGAGGGTGGATCATGTGAGGTCAGGAGTTTGAGACCAGTCTGGCCAACATGGTGAAACCCCGTCTCTACCGAAAATACAAAAAAATTAGCCAGGTGTGGTGGCGCATGCCTGTAATCCCAGATACTTGGGAGGCTGAGGCAGGAGAATCGCTTGAACCCTGGAAGCAGAGGTTGCAGTGAGTCGAGATCGCGCCACTGCACTCTAGCCTGGGCGACAGAGTGAAATTTGTTTATTCAATGAATGACTGTAACCTAGAAGCAGATTAAGAAGACATTTCATATTTATAAAATTGATAGCTCATTATTGGTTTAGTATTCAGTATTTTGTGCAAGTCTCGTTCAGAATGGACATTCATTTCATTTCCCTGAGCTTATATTGAATTAAATCTGTTTTTGCTGGAAGAGGTCTAGTTTAATACTGCTGGGAATAAATAATATATGATAATAAAAAATAACTTCGGGGGAAATTTTAGGCATAAATGCTAGTAGTCATATGTAAAAAATCATTAATTCTGTATAGTACAAAATGCTTACACTTTAACAAAATAGGTAATAGTGAAACCTGTGATAACTTATTTGTATTAAGTAAACAAAATTTTTGTTCACATCGCCTGGAGTCTTTTTGAGAATTTTCCTAATCATGAATAGATGTTGAATTTTGTTAAATGCTTTTGTTTGGATATATTGAAGTGATCATATATCTTTCCTCTCTTTAAAAAAATATGGACTGCTTCAAGAATTTGCATGTCTTCTCTGCATCGTTCCAATTTTAGTATATGTGCTGCTGAAACATGCACTTTTTTCTCTTTTATTTCGTGAATTACGTTGATTTTTTTTTTTTTTTTTTGAGACAGTCTTGCTCTATCGCCCAGAATGTAGTACAGTGGCTCGATCTCAGCTCACTGCAATCTCCAGCTCCCAGGTTCAAGTGATCCTCCTGCCTCAGCCTCCTGAGTAGTTGGGATTACAGGTGCATGCCACCATGCCCAACTAATTTAATGTTTTTTTTTTTTTTTTTTTTTTTTTTTTTTTGAGACAGAGTCTTGCACTGTCACCCAGGCTGGAGTGTGGCACAACCACAGCACACTGCAGCCTCAACCTTCTGAGCTCAAGTGATCCTCCCAACTCAGCCTCCAAGTAGCTGGAACTGCAAGAGTGTGCTACTGCACCCAGCTAATTTTTAAATTTTCTGTAGAGACAGGGTCTTCCTATGTTATATAAGTTGGTCTCAAACTCCTGGCCTCAAGCAATCCTCCTGCCACGGCCTCCCAAAGTGCTGGGATTATAGGCATAAATCACTGTGCCTGGCCCCAAAGTCAGTTTTATACACACACACACACACACACACACACACACACACGTATATATATATATAAAACTCACAACTTTTCATTTTACTAGTTGGTTAATCACTTTTCTCTCCTCTGTCCCTGAACAGCCTGAGCTTCCACTATTGCTTCCTGAGAATGAGATGCAGGAGAAGTCTCACTAGGAAAGGAGTCAGAGCTACGGGAATTTTCAAGAGAACTTTAAAAATTCTTCACTTAAAACTCTCCTTTTAAAAGAAATCCTCATGGGGCATACCAACTACTGAAATCAGAAAGACTTTTATCATTGCAATTGTAACAATATTAATTATGCATAGTTTATTACTATATTAAGTGTAGATGGAGCCTATTTCAAGAAAACACAATAAAGCCTAAACTGAAATAAGCAAGCTAGGAGTTGACTGTTCATATTTCAAAAGGATTCTCCAATTTTAACAGGATTCATTGCTGTTTTTTTCACAAGCTTTAATACCCCTGTGGTTTTAAAAATCATTTTAAAAATTTAATTTACACATAATTTTTCAGGAACTCATCTATTGTACAAAATTATGCACAACTCTGCATGTGTATAGATAATACTATAAACAAAGGGCTCATAAAATTTTCCCATAAATTATCTCATTAGCTGGGACTATACGAATGAATATAAGCATTGGTTAGAATGCATAGGAAGCCACTAGAAAACATTATTCTTGAATTATTTACTTTTTATTAATATATGTAAATACTCTACATGGCTTAGTTCCTAGCAAAAACTAAGAATTCTAATATGCCCATGGGGCCCTTCCCTGATGACTCATTTATTAGAAAACTTTTCCTTATAAACGATACAAAAATAAACTTCAGCTCACCTGGTACAATCACAGAAAATTTGAATGAGTAAAGTAAAACTTGAAGACCCATAGGTAACAAATACTTCACATTACCCACAGAGTTCCCATGTAAGAACCGTCTGATGTCACTGTCAGAGACACAGAAACCAGGGACCTGGACAGAGAAAAAAGTTCCATGGTCCTAACCGCCTGGATGCAACTGTGGTTTGGGAGTGGCAAATGAGGGCTCTCAACTAACATGAATGTCTTGAAAACAACTATCAAATCTCAGGAAAGGAGAATTTTGAAATCATAGTATATGTCCTTTGAACTACCTCCCTTCCCCAATTTCCAATCTGATCCTTTATTCTTAGTTCTAGAATTTGCAAAGAGTCAATGTTTGCAAGCTTGCGACTTTTTGTCTAAAATTCACCTTAGGCTTGGTAACGTGAAGTTCTTTCACCATTTGAATATAGTGCTTCTTCCAGATCCCCTGCTCAAAGGGAGTTGGAGAGAAATTGATGTACCAGTTAAACCGTAAACATTTCAGCATCCAGAGCTGATCCAGCTCGGCTAGGTTCTTCCAATGCCAGCACACCTGGAAAAACAATTACAATTAAACAAAACCAAATCAAACAACCCCCTCAGTTTACATGCCCACTTTCTCTAGGTTTTGAACTGTCATCCTGGGCCTGAGATAACTTTTTTTGTCCTTTGCCTCCAAACCATAGCTTAAATGGTTACCTCCTACCTGAAGTGTTTCCTACCCAGGCAGATTTAAAGTAAATTAGCATTTGCTTTAAATTCTAATTCAGATTTAGAATCAGAGTCAATTAATATTTATGGAGCACCTATTAATTATCTTCATAGCAACCTAGGGAGGTAAGTACAATTATTACTCTCATATTGCCAATGAGGAAATTGGGGCTCAGATAGACTTTGGAACTTTCCAGAGGTTTCTAAAGGTCATATAAAAGTTGTATAAGGATTATATAAACTTGGGTCTGCACTTTATTTATTCTTTTCATGGTGTGCTTCCTTTTCCCTCCTACATTAGTCTGTTTTCACATTGCTGATAAAAACATACCAAGACTGGGTAATCTATAAAGAGAAAGAGGTTTAATGGACTCATAGTTCCATGTGGCTGGGGAGGCCTCACAATCATGGTGGAAGGCAAAAGTCATGTCTTACATGGCGTCAGGCAAGAGGGAACGAAAGCCAAGCAAAAGGGGAAACCTTTATAAAACCATCAGATCTCATAAGAGTGACTCACTACCATGAGAACAGTATGGGGGAAACCATCCCCATGATTCAATTTTCTTCCCCTGGGTTCCTCCCACAACACGTGGGAATTATGGGAGCTATAATTCAAGATGAGACTTGGGTGGGGACACAGCCAAACCATATCACCTCCATTCTTTCAATTTCACTAAATATAAATTTTATAATGGAATATAATCACTGATACCATGTGATGTATAGAGCCTTTAGGAGTCCACAAAGCATAAAGCATTTATTCTGTACATACCAGTTCCAGAGCATTATGGCTAATCCCACCCATCCAGCAAATGGCAGAGACTGCCCTACTATGTGTAGCAATATTTATAATAATTTACCCAAGGGTTTGAATAAGTCTTGCCAGAAACTAGGATCAAGTTCACATATAAAGCTGAAACGAGGGATTCAGTGTCTTTGTAAGAGTTGCAAAGATGACATATAACCTTCAAGCCCAAATTTCACCCTTAGAAAACTGGCCTCTTTTTCAATATTAATTAAATAATTAATAATTTTTGAGTGCCCCTTCACCCCCAAAAGCCAACACTCCGTAATGGCCTTGCTGTCCATACACTTATTTTTCTATCCCTCTCTGCCTCCCCACTTCCACTCACCATTTATTGAGTTCCTCCTATGTTTAGTATTGTTTTATGTGCAGAAGATGAGATGTTGAGGAAAGAGTAGGGCACAATTAGAAGAAATAATAAATTCAGGAAAGGTTAGGGAAGGAGGAAAAAGTTAAGGGGATTTGATAGAGCCCTACAGGCAGCAACAGAAATCACATTTAGTTTGTTTGACCCAGAAATGAAACACCAACCTCATTTCCATATGGTAAATTCACTCAGAATTCAATGGGGAGATGGAGTTTTTGGGAAAGGGAAGGGGGAGAAAAGTCTCAATTTTCATTCCTTTTCTCCTTATTCTTCTTCTTCTTATTTTTTATTTTATTTTATTTTATTTTTTGAGACAGTTTTGCTCTTGTTGCCCAGGCTGGAGTGCAGTGGCGTGATCTTGGCTCACTGCAACTTCCGCCTCCCGGGATCAAGCCATACTCCTGCCTCAGCCTCCCGAGTAGCGGGGATTACAGGCATGCACCACGCCTGTCTAAGGGTTTCTCCTCTTCTTTAGATCATGTTTTGACCTGAGTACTTAAGTTGTTTTTCTTCCCAAGGCAAATACAGTTTTTGTTTTTTGTGTTTTTTGTGTTATTTTGTTTGTTTAAAGGTAGAGAGGAATGAAGAGAATTGAAAGGTAAGAGCTTTCAAATCTACAAGACATAGTTCCTCCACAACCTTCCATCTTTTTAAAACAGCAACGACTTTATACGGTTTACTTTAAATTGAGCTGAAGAATGATGGTCTGTGTCTTCCCCACAGTGAGTAGTGAGAAGAAATTATGACTTATAGTGCATACAGATGATAGAACTAGCTATTTCAAATAACATTTCCTTCTAATAATAATATTATCTTTGTGGAAAATGAAAAATTCTGAGAAGTTTAACCCATGACCCCATTAATCAGAGATGACCATTATTGACAACCTGGTACAGTTCTTTTCCTTTCAGTCTTTATTTGAAGTATATACAAAAGAAAATCAGGAAACCCTATATACAACTTAAAATATTTTTTCATTTTAAATATTATAGCATCTCTGTTCTTCCAAAACATGTTTACTAATGGTTGCATAATAATACATCATAGGTCAGTTGCAGTGGCTCAAGCTTGTAATCCCAGCACTTTGAGAGGCCGAGGCAGATGGATCACCTGAGGTCAGGAGTTCCAGACCTGCCTGGCCAACATGGCGAAACCTTGTCTTTCCTAAAAATACAACAATTAGCTGGGCGTGGTGACACGCGTCTGTAATCCCAGCTACTTGGGAGGCTGAGGCAGGAGAATCGCTTGAACCTGGGGGGACAGAGGTTGCAGTGAGCCAAGATCGAGTCATTGCACTCCAGTTTGTGAGACAAGAGCGAGACTCTGTCTCAAAATAATAATAATAATAATAATAATAATAATGCATCATATATGGCTGTATGATACCCTCTTATTACTGGGCATCCAGATTGCTATATTCTTTTAAAAAGTCATTTCAGGTCAGGTGTGATGCCTCACATCTGTAATCGCAGCACCCCTGGAGGTCAAAGTGAGTGGATCACTTGAAGTCAGGAGTTTGAGACCAGCCTAGCCAACATGGTAAAACCCTGTCTCTACTAAAAATACAAAAATTAGCCAGACATGGTAGCGCATGCTGTAATCACAGCTACTCGAGAGGCTGAGGCAGGAGAATCGCTTGAACCCGGGAGGCAGAGGTTGCAGTGAGCCGAGATTGTGCCACTGCACTCCAGCCTGAGCAACAGAACAAGACTTCATCTCAAAAAAAATCATTTTTGGAATAGGTATGTGCATATTAATACCAAATTCAAAGAAACAAAGGAAGTCCCTCTCCCATCACTATCCCCCAGTCACCCATTCTTCTCCTTGGATGAGACCACTGTTACCAGTTGCTGGTAAATAATTCTTGAATATTCTAGGCGTATAGTAACAAACATATATATATTTTTGAGACAGGGTCTCACCCTGTTGCTCAGGCTGGAGTGCAGAGGCATGATCATAGCTTACTGCAGCCTTCAACCCCCAGGCTCAAGCCATCCTCCTGCCTTACTTAGTTTCTCAAGTAGCTGGAACTCTAGGCACATGTCACCATACCTGACTAATTTTTTCTTTCTTTCTTTCTCTTTTTTTTTTTTTTTTTTTGAGACAGGGTCTCACTTTGTGACCCAGGCTGGAGTGCAGTGGCATGATCTCAGCTCACTGCAGCCTCCTCCTCCCAGATTCAAGCAACCCTCCTGCCTCATGCCCCGCAAGTAGCTGGGTGCAGGTACAGGTGTGCACCACCACACAGGACTACTTTTTGCATTTATAATAGAGATGAGTTTTCACCATATTGGCCAGGCTGGTCTCAAACTCTTGACCTCAAGTGATCTGCCCACCTTGGCCTCCTAAAGTGCTAGGATTATAGGTGTGAGTCACCTCCGCACCTGGCTGACCTAAGTGTGGTTTTTTTTTTTTTTTTTTTGAGATGGAGTCTCACTCTGTCGCCC